AGATACAACGTAGTTTTGTAATGGCTTTATGGTACAAGCCAAATGAAGCATTTAAGCAAGATAGCAATATTTCCATATATCTTGAAAACATGAATTAACAAAGAAAACAACCTTATACAAAAGTCACCTTATGTTCAATGCCCAAGACGATAAATTGAAAAAAGGTGGCTTCCATATGAAAAGGTTTTTTAAAATCTAGTTTTCTTTCCGTATTTTCCATCCTATGTTATTTCAGTATAAAGTCTAAGGTTAGTTCCCTCCTATATGAAACCCGTAACAAATCATATAGCAAAGGCAAAATTACGAGAAATAATAAATTGTTATAATTCATTGACATCCATTTGTCATGTTTTACGCAAAATTTGAGATATCTCAAAAACGATTAGACTTAAGTATAGGATTACATACATGAAATGGTACAACTGGAAGTGCCAATATGTTTGAAATGTTAATTGTTGGAATTGACTGAATAAGTATCAGGACTCCATATTCTATTAAATAAATCCATCCCAGTCGTCTGAGAGCAAAGATGCTGCGATGGCTGTTCCAACACTTGCTCTAAAAATTGAGGAGACAATTCAATTACAGTAAGTGAAGTCGCTACTTCATTCTCGCCGTGATTGGCGCTGGCTTTTCGCAAACATCGTCCGTCGAAGGACAAAAAAGGAAAAGGAAAATATCTCATGTCTCTTGTAATGTTTTCTTTTATACGTGCAATTTCTTTGTTTTCTTCCCCTCCTACATATTGACAATATTGAGTTGCGATACATATATTTTACTAAGTGCTTGGGGACTTGCAGGGTACAGGTGCATGAATCCTGATGAAATGTATTATATAGCCCAGTCAAATTAAGCTTACTCAGGGGTGTAGGATCGAATGGAACTGTCATTTTGAATGAATGTTGAAAAAAAAAGAAATGTATTCTTCTTAGCAGTTGAGATATATTCTTTCTCAACAATGGTACTCGTGACGAAAAAATGTGTTAAATGTAGCAATTATTTTTTTGGAATGGTGTTTTTTGAAAATACTACAATTAGAAAATGAATTTATTGTTAAACATTTATTCATATTACAAAGATCCACACTAAGCACATTAGCTGTGCGCGATGAATCTAACAGAAATTAAGTGCATAAAATTGGAAATTCAGAACTTTTGGAAAATCCCGAAGAGCCTAAAAATCAATTGTTAACCTAGTGCTCTATGTGAGAACTTGACACTTTCTATTGTTATGGAAAACCAATTTTTGGAAAAGACTACTGCAGTGCTCCTAGATAATTAAATAAATAATAAGTGAACCAAAAATAGCGAGACAATTTGTATTCCATTACCCATACATAAGCGGGAAGTTAATATACCTTTCATTGTTAATAAATAAAATCACAAACGTTGAATTTGGAATCGAATGTCGGGTCAGTGATTTTTGCTCACATTTCAGAAAACAAAATGATAAATCATGAGCTGTTTCTTTTTATTTTGTACTTGGAAGGTTCGTATGGTAGCAAACATCGCTTGGTTCAAGTTATTGTTGAAGACCGGATATATTGGAAAGAGAGAGAACTAACGGATAAGTTTCGTACATTACGTTTTTCAATTTGTGTCTATTTTCATCGATCTGTTTACCGATCTGTCGGTTTGTCTTCCTGTTGGTGTTCTATACGCTTCGTAATTATAGTATCGTTTCCAACGATTGTGATGTAAGTTAGAGAATGATATGCCGTGGAGTTGCGTCGTTTTTTTAATTCAATAGATATTCCAATATATGTCCAAACACTTTACAAATATAAGATGGCGTTTTTAAAATAGTGACAACTGCAAAATATGAGTCTGCTTTGTGATACCAGAACTTCAACTGCTCGATAAGATATTCAATTTCCCTGGATCAGTGACAGGCTACAAGTTGCAATTTGGTAATGCCTCTCGCATATGTTTAAAATGGCAGCAGATGCACTATATTTACGTATGCGTACGAGATTTACATTTCATATTGTATACTCCTCGTTATTTAAAACTGTTGACATTTGATCGATGTATATTAAAAAATGTTTTTATACCGGATGTTAAAGAAATACCTGGCCAAGCTCCAAGGGGTGGTTCCTTGGATGAGTATTAGAAAACAAAATGGTTTCGTCTCTCACTTCATTTCTTAAAAAAATAATTTCGGCTTATTTTGCTGATATCGGCCGCATGATATAAATTATAAAGTCACTGAATTGAAGGGTTATTACGATTTATACTGGAATATGGATAGAAAAAAATGTTTATTCATCTATACACCACCAACAAATATACTGATTACTGGTGCAAATACAGCAAGATAAACTAAGTAATTAAGTAATGTAATACACACTAACTAGCGACATTTTTACATGCTTGCTTGAAGTATGATAATTTTGTATCAAATATACTATGTTGGCCCAGAAGATTACTATAAAATGAACACATTGAGTACAGAAGTCAGAGAAATAGTAAATTAATTTGTGGGGTAGGAGGTAAAAAGTACGCGCATTTCGAGTAAAAATTTTTAGGGCATCAACCTTGATAATCGTAAACACCATGGACTGTTCTGTACAGAAATACAAGATAGTGAGCTTTCCTTCTATTATCGAAACTAACAAAATAATGTTTTTACAATAACTTTGCCTGAAGGCTTCCTATAGGCAGATATATATGTACCCTCGATTTTAAGAAAGCACCTTCACATGCAGTCGCATCTCAGGAATTATCAAGGATCACACCTAGGCCCTTATGTACTCTTTGCAAAGGACAATAATCGACTAGATGATTGAATTGAGTAGGGATCATCTTTCTTGTGCAATCATGAATCAAAGTTTCAAATGCTTTAGAAAATTTTGGCGGAACTTTGATCATTTTTTAAGGCTTACTGTTTGATATTTTGCTACACATTCTGTCTGCATTTCTGGGAGACAATTTTCGTGCTAGATATACGCTAAACATATGAAAACCCAAAAAAATGGTAAGATCGAATTTTTAATAGTGAAGTAATTCGTTGAGACGTCATTGTCTTGAAATCGTGGTCCTTTATCGTTATATTTTTCTCTCTCGATCCTTGTAGTTTTCATCGAAACGCAGTTTATTTTGTATAATGTTGCAGTTTGTATACCACCATGTTCATGTCCCTCAAGTTAGGATGAAAATGATGCGATTGACTTACTCTGGGAACCAATTCTAAAAGCAGAGATCGTTCAAACAAATCTTATTTGAATCCGATTGATTATAAATTGTTTTAGAGATGGTATCTGTTTGTACGTGGGTATGGGCGCTCTGCGTAGAAAGGTAAACACGTTCATTTATTCAAATGTAAGTGCATACGGGTAAAAAAGGCACGTTAACGGTAAGTGGAGTCCAAGAAACGTACCGCCAGTGGTATCATAGTGTGCGATGTTTTTTCTATCGTGGAATGCTGAAAGGCAGGGTTAGGCAGCGTACAAACAAGTGATATTAAAATTGCGCCCATTTTTTACTTCCCACGCTTACTGGCGAGAAAATATTGCAATTTCAGAAAATTTCGGAGATGATATATTATGTTTTTCATGTATATACATCACGAGCAACCTTGTCACTCATTTCCGTCAGTCTGTTTGTCTATCGGTATGTCCACTAATCATGGAACCGTCTATAATTTGTGAATTATTGCTCGGATTTGGATAAAAATTCCGCACAACGTGACTAGATATGGCGGCGGAGCTTGGTGCAGAAACACAAAAAAAAATATAATTGATCAAACTTTTTTTGACGTTGTAGATCATTTTCTGAAACATTTTTGAATGGGTTTATAATCGGGGGTTGGGGTTATATGGGGTGGAGGAGGATATATGTATCTCATTTTTTTTTGGCTGCAGTATAATTATTCACTTCCATCCCCAGGAGTCTTACGCACCCATCAGTGCATATTTCACACATCAAAGATTTCCCCATACATTTGCCCTTATAACTTAACACATTGACTGTCCAATGAGCCACATATGGCTCATGGACCATATTCTCCATGCGTCCATGAGCCCTATGTGGTACATAAATTCATACAACTTTTATAAGTTGGACGTGGTAGTACGCACACATTTTTTGTATGTGGGCGTTAGAGTATTCCTTACTCGACACTTTAAAAAAAAAAATTATTAGAATCGAATGAAAAATAAAGATTTTATAAACTTTTTATTTTTTTCGGTTTAATAGGTAAAAACGTACATTACTAACATATATCTAATGGTTTTCTCCAAAGCAAGGCACGCAAAATGCTTGATTGCAGGATTTGCCGATAGTGTTGACCCTCTTAGCTCTTTGTAGATTCTGATGCCGAATTGTTTCCGCGCAGTTTCCCATAGCATCCGTGGCAACGCTTTCTGTAGAGTTTGTTATTATCTCTAGGCAGTTCTTCCAGTATGTGAATAGTTTTTTTGGTCTTGCCTCCAGAACCGCCATCGTTATTAGATTTTCTTTTTAACATCTCGCTTATTAGGGATTGTCTCATTTGCAAAAGAGATACTTGTTCTTCTTTTGGACGTTGTTCATTATATACAATCAGAGTGTTTACAACGCGTGTTCCACAAATAATCTCTATGGCGAGTTTTTTATACCATGTCAATGACTTTCTCAGACAAGTGTAGTAGCTGGCAAACTGATCAGATATATCCACCCCTTGTTTTCCTTTATTGTAGTCCAAAATGGCAGAAGGTTTAATCTTATCTTCGCCATTTCTTTTTTTTCCACAAGTTTTCATTTCATCATCATGAACAGTTGAGAGAAAAAGAACGTCACGCTGGTCTTTCCATTTTGAAACAGTAATACAGCCATTTTGTCTTGAGATTATTTCGCCCTTGCGTAATTTGTGTATAATTACTTCTTCTGGCAGACCACGCCTATTTTTGCGTAATGTTCCCAATATGTGGGTGTTCCGATCATAGAGATATTTTGCAAGTTGCAGCCTAGTATAGTAGTTATCAGTAATTACCATTCTGCCTTCATTTAAAAGAGGTCTCACTAATTCACTACAGTGCTTCCTGGTAAATCAAGCCCATCAATGGCGGTTGATACACCGTCATATATTTTTAGATGCCAGGTATAGCCATTTGGAGTACATACCTTGTACAACTTGATTCCATAAGAGCAGCGAGCTTTGGAAGGATTATATTGTCTGAATTTTAGACGTCCGCGAAAAGGCACCATTGTTTCGTCTACCACCACAGTATCACCAGGACAATAAACAGTTTTTATGTTGTTTTGAATGATGCTCAATATTGGATTTATTTTATCCAGCCTACTGGTGGACGGAAGTGTATTGTCCTGAAAATGCCAGCATTTGAGAAGTAGTGTAAATCGATTGTAGCTGATTGGTATTTTGTGAAATATTTCGTGGTAATAAATTGGATCTTTTTTCCAGTAGCTCTCAATGGTTGGAAAATTGATAACTCCCATTAGCATGATGACTCCTGAAAAGAAAAACAAAGAAATTACAAACAAAATAAACGTAAAATTAGGCTATATAAAACAATATGTTCGTAAAAGATCACAATCTGTAAGCAAATTTTAATGAAACTGTAAAAAAGAAGCTTTTTGTTTATCGGTGTAGAGGCTATTGTAAGGCAGTCAAACATATTGTAAGGCGGTCAAACATACACATAGACGTTATGAACCAGAGACCGCTAATTCAGGTCAAAAAACCCCAAAATATTACATTGTTGATGTAAACCAAAATACATAGTATTCACTCACCAATAAACAATTCCATTTCATCTTCATTGGTGTCATGCCATCTGGAAAAGCGGGAAGATGTTCGTGGTTTCTTATTTGCTATTATTTCACGTGCACGCACATTGGTTTGCTGGACCATAAGTTGTATTATTTCATCTGTCAGAAATAACCTATATATATCTCGTACATCTTTGCCTTCAATTGGAATTAATGTTCCTTGGGTTCCTGTGAACTGAAATTTTTTAAACTGCAAAACACAATCCGACCAAAATAAGCTCAAATCTTCTTCGTTCTGATGAATGAACTCAGCAAACCCTATCATCACTATCTGAGTCAATCTCCTGATCACTCTCAGACTGCTCACTCGAAATTTCACTGCCGCTGCAAAAGTCTGGATCGGCAATGCTATCATCGGAATCGAAATCCACTGATCCATCACTTATTTCTGATAAGTGGTTTGCATAATACTCTAGCTCCTTATCGGTGAGTTTTTTTCTATTTTCAGACATTTTTAGTTCACTAAGAAAACTACTAGGTTCACCAAGTAAATAAATAATTTGAGGTTAAGTTAAAATCGTCTTCTTTTTACTTTTTTGTCTAATGCGCATGAGCCATATGAGGCGCATGGGACGTTATCATAATCTCAATATTAGGATAACGTCCCATGAACCACATATGGAGCATGCCATATTTAATGGTGGACGTATGGGTGGAGTTACTAATTTGCATATGGACAGTTAATGTGTTAAACAAATAATATAGACAAGATAGGCAGTCAGTCGGGACGATCCGATGCAACGGCGACTTTCATACGCCGAACCCTGTCTCGCGACTGAGAGCATCGCCCAGGTATGTTATAGTATCAGCGCTTGTGACTGGAGTGGTCCAGCAGCTTTGCCGATGGTCGATATTTAGGGCAGGGAAGAAACTAGCGTTAGTGTTATCAAATGGATGAGGACTTTAGAGTATGTATTGATTGCGTATGGCGGCTTTTTTTGGTAGACTAGACAGATTTGTAGCTAACTCAAACGGACTAACTTGGGCCAACATAATCCTCAACTGGGAAGTGCAGAGTTAACCTACTTGATGCCTGAAGTAGATGCGAGAGTTGAGCTAAAGAGAGTGAAATTGGGATGGATAGGTATGCAGACTTCAGTAGAGGCAGAACAATAAATATAAGTCTAGCGGGTTTGTCTGGTAGCGGCATAATGTAAGAGCAGAAAGGAGCAAACAGACTGTCTTGTGAGGAAGTATCATCGATCATTAGGAGAAGCCTGTTCTGAACAACTTCCAGTCATTCATGCACATATTTACGCTTATGGTTGATAATAGGAACTTAGATGGCTACATTGGCAGAATGCATGATGGTGCCTTACCTCGAAAGGGCTTTAACTTTCACTTTCGACGTGAAAAAATTCTACAGACAAACTACAGTTATTTATATTTTAATTTTTTTGATACAAATAAAACAAGTTAAAGTTTAGCGGCCAGTAAAATTAGTGTGAAGTTAAACACACAACGCATAACCACTCCATTTGGTCAATAGAGATTAGATTCGAATAGGTCAAAGTATAATCAGAAACTTGTCAATTCAATGTTGGCCCTTTTTTAACTGATTAACTGAACATAGATAGCACAGCCCCACAAAAAAAAATCGTGACATTGAGTCAGACCATGATATTTGTATGTATATCCTTCGAAGCTAAATCCGAATTTGCTATTGAGAATATCCCTACTCCCCTAGAGTTCATCCCTGGGCATAACAACTTCGCCTGCAAGTAGAAGGGATTAAAATTGAATTGAGTTGAGGAATTCAGGGTGACGAGCCGATCTTAGCCTCAGTGCTCTTCACAATGACGCAGCGACGCGATGTGCCTGCTAAAGAGATCGCTTGACTTTCGCCTTCCAGCGGGTTGAACTTTGTACATCCAGAACTGGCCGATACGACCGACCGTTTGTCCCTAGGGTATTGAGATTGTGCAACAAATTCCTGAGGAGGTGTTTCCCAGTTCAACTAACCTTAAGCTGTTCAAAAATCTGATGAACAAAGTTTATTTCAGCTCCTCACAGCAGCCGATGTGCCCTGGAATTTAGGCTTCTGCTTGAGCGGCCGCTTCGGTATATAAAAAAACATTGATTTCGATTACAGTTTGATTCGTTACAAAATTAAACGATCCCAAAACTAGTTGAAACGGAATTCAGAATTTAGGCGACGCAGTTAAATGCCATAGGTATATTACATTCTGCCATTTCGGCAAAAAGATCAATTTTCCATAAATACACTACCACAGTTTATCAGAAGTAGTGTTATGGAAGGAAGACATTGTTTTGAGACATAAAATTGAATTGACCTCGTATAGTTTTTGAAAAAGAATTGCGATATGCAAACGTACATGGGAGTTACTTAATCAAATTGAATATTAAATTGTTGAAAAGCCAGTAGCATATTAATTTTCTTTATATCAGGTTATAGTTTAATACTTTACTACTTTTGTCGAGATCCTATGAAGCTGTGTCGACTTTCTTTCAGAACCTGTACTGAACAAAACAGGTGAATTTCGTTAATTTTCTATGATTGACAACGTACTGCTGCTACTTATCAATTTACATCCTCTGCTTCCGTTAGATAAGTAACATCATATTTCCATTATCTCTAAATGGACATTCCGGTGCAATAAATATACCAAAAACCTCATCCACACTTTCGAAATTCCACCGTTTTATCTATGAACCGCACTTTCTATAACGGTACCATTTTTTTTTGTATCGTTATCCCTACGTCCTGACATTTTTTGCCACTACCAGAAACTTTCTAATCCATTCAGCTGCTTTTACTGGCCATCGGACAAACATGGCGTTAAATTACGGTTGTAGGTATTCGGTAATGCACTTTGAAAAACGGCAGTTCGGGTAGTAGGCGAGAGGAAAGACCCCAAATGATGGTCGATACCTGGGAATGACCACCGAAGGGCGGATCGACAGAGAGAGAGAAAAATGGTAACTGTATCCGTCAGGGGGATTCGTACAGTATACGGGGTGTTTCAAATTCGACTCTTACCATTGGGGTCTCGGAAACGGAAAGAGATACGAAATCGGTTTAGGTAGCTAGGAAAATGGAATTTAGAGAGTTTTGCATTTAAGAGTACAGTGGGACCCCTCTAACTCGACGTTTGTGTAACCCAAACTTTTTTAAATTCGGTACACTTTTACTACGGTACAGTGTTATTACGCAATCGGTTGTTTACAACTGATTCAAACCAGTTGTAAACGAGACATATTTTCACATTTTCATCGTCATTTGTACGTGTGGTGTTTATTAGAGCGGTTACTTTTACACATATTATTGCGTTTAAATGCCTAAAATTTTATAATCTGATGTATGTAAAATATCTATCTCTTAGAAAAAGCTTAGGTACAGGTATGTATATCACACGTATTCACGTCTTATCTAAATCGATACATACGTCTCTTGTTCTCAATTTTCATTTTGATATTTTATATTATTTAAGGGTACCAATGGAAACATTGAAAGCGCTAGTTGCTTTTTCACTTTTTTGTTTTTAATTAAAATCAACACATCTTAAGCTGAATATTGAAATTTTTTACTATGCACAAAAAAGCCAATTAATGGTGTTTATCAATTAGCAAAAATAGATTTTTTACACATATTTTGTTTTTTTAATCAAACATTTTTATTTATTCACATTTCTGTCAGTTTATGCGACAGATGTCGAAATTCAAACAGCAACAACTTGATTCCATCCACATTTTCCAAAATAGTGCTTAGAATTTATCCTGATGTTTCAAGAGCTCAAAATTACAGCACCAATTTCATTTCTTTTCTACTAAATACTGTTTGTAGAGTGCAAAAGAGGTACTAATAAATAAGCACCATCTATTGTTTTTTGTACATAATCAAATATTTCAATTACCAGCTTAAACGGTGCTGATTTTGATAAGATACAAGAAAGATGAAAAAATCCGGCACTGGATATTTTAGCGATCTAACTTGATTTACATTTCTCCTAAGCAGCTTTGTTATTGTGCAAAGATTCATCAAAATTGCTTCAATAAAGCCCAAGATATGTGACATTGAAGATTTGGCACGTTTTAATGAATCATCCTGTATATTCGTAAATAATAATAATAATAATAATAATAATAATAATAATAATAATAATAATAACGCCTTTATTCATCATCAATAATGTGAGGGACAAAGTTTACCACTTTTTCCTATTTGTTAAAAAACCACGATGTTTTGTGCAATATTTAAAATAAATCCACTAAAGGAGCATTAATTAGTGAATAAAAAAATAACTGTAAAAATGACAGGTGACATTTTCCTGTATTCAGTAGTATTGTGAAATATGGCAGCGTTGTATGAGAAGCAACGTTTGAAAAGTGACGTAGGTATCCTAATCATAGAACGGTCCCTAGTATTTACGTCATGAACTTTGCGATTAAATATGATCTTTTCTCTCAGATACACATCCATCCCTCAACTTGTGCAAAAACACTACGTATTTGTGCTGTATAAGTTTATCAATTTTTTTGTCATTCATTTGTACGGGTTGCTAACGCGATCAAATTTCCTCATCCCATGAATAAATTGAATTTAGAACTTTTTTATTTTATTAAACGGAAACATCTCGGTCCATACCTGTAAACAACCAGGCTTAAAAACTTCACAAAAAACGCTGCAGCTCAATCCAAATATATGTATATAGGATGATAGGAAAAACGGTGGCAATATTAATACAACAAGAAGTACATCCAAAAATAACAGCAAAAGCTCCTACAGACATAGGACAATGTCCCTCCGAGATGTATGTAGTGCCAGTAATCGTATTGATTGGCGATAGAACGTGAATATTCTTTAAGTGTCACTTAGAATATTTATGTAAAATTGGACAGTCTTGTTTGTATAAGCAGGAGTAAATGCTATGAACACTCTTGGCATCAGACGAACGTTTAATCAAAATCAAGAATATGGTTCTTGCTGCAAAGCTTGCGAGTGATTTTTTCATTCAAAAGAGAAAGCTATTTTTGCATTACTGACCATCAACAGTACAGTATTGGAAAATTTTAGGATATAGCCTAAATACTGCAATAAACTTTGCTCCAAAATAAATGGTCCAACATTTGACAGCATATTAAATATATTTAATTGAAAACCTGCGAAAAATGGGTAAACATTCCAAGCAAACTCAAACAAGATGGTTTATAATGGGATTTAAAAAATGTAGTCCATCACCTGTATAAAAAAATGCGAGGTTTTGTTGGCAATTGCATCGGTTTTCGAAACAAAAAAGAAGGCTTGTGCAATCAATTCTAGATATCCTGATTCTTTCAGGCCTTAGTCAAAAATAATATTTTTGACTATCTTCAATATCGGGAACAAATTAATTCCCAAATCTAGTTATTTTGGACGAAAAACATCAATTACCTAACTATGTAACATCAAATGCACTTGCATCACCATTTCGGACTTTGCTAAGTTCAGCACTTTTTGCGGG